AGAGCATTCATCAAATTCATCTTGCATGTTATCAACTTCGCTCTCATTAACTTCTTGTTCTTCTTCAAACGGGTCATATTGCAAAGGTTCCTTGGCACCATTATCTTCAATCTCAATTTGAGTCTCAATCTTGTTATCTTCTTCATTCAAATGATTAGATTCAAGACACTCCTCAAGCATTTCATTTTCAAGATTTTCCCTTACATTCTCATCTCCATCAACCTCATTCCATTCATTAGATAAGGGAAACTCTTGTTGAACCTCTTCGTTGGACAATGAATCTTGAATTGGCTCTTGAGTTGCCCAACTTTGTACTTGAGCCATCATGTTTTCCGATTGAGTTTGTAACTCATCCACTCGTGAAGACGTTTCCATTATCAAACTCATCAACTTGGACATCATCTCAGGCTCTTGATCAAGGGATTGAAATCCTTGTTGAGGCTCTTGGTAAGAGGGCTCTTGAAATTGGCACAAATGTTGGTAGTTAGGAGCCAATATATATCAATTTTCGGCATCATGTGCTCCTCCACAAATGGTACACCATAAAGGTTGTGGCATAGTAAATGGTGGTGTGCCTCCTTGAAAAGTTTCTTGACTCATGTAGGCAAGATTGAGATGTGGTTCTTGTTGTTCCATTCCTCCATATGTTTGGCTCATATTCCAATTCATTTCGTATCCATGGGAGGAATTTGAAATGGTGGTAAGGATCCTTGATACTCATACCCATACATATTGAAAGTTCTTCTTTGGGTGGATAGAGTACTAACTACTCCTTGATCTAGAATAAAAGCACCAAGCTAGGTATCTTCATCCGAAAATCCCAAACAAGATTGAGCAATTAGCACTTGAGCACATAAAGCAAATAAAAACAAAGGGAAAAAAAAGTCTAGTCTCCTAGAATAGTCATTAACCAATGTTAAATACCACAAAACAATCAAAACCAAGCCATCCCCGACAACGGCGCCAAATTTGATAAGGACATTTTTCATACATCCATCAAGTATCAAATCACAGTATAGAGTTTAGATATCGTTCCACTGGAGATGGCTCTTGTAATGTTAAGAATTGATGTAAAGTGGAGTTAAGCACAAGCTAAAACTACCATTTTAGAAGCTAGACCTATCGATAAGGAGTTGGTTTGATATGATTAAGCTAATAACAAATAAGACAAGTAAAACAAAGGACCGGGACTTGGCTGATTCAGGCTAAGATGCCAAATATTGTACTAAGGATTAGGGAATTAAATCGAGGCATAGGGTAAGTGAGATGCACAAAAGTGTCCAAATACCACTCTCGTAGCTATTTGGACTTGCAACCTCACCTTAAACTCCATTCTCGTGGCAATTCAACCCAAGGTTGCCCAAGCAAGAACACAAGGCAATAATTCTCCTTAATACCCGAAATACTCTCGTATTAGGCATTAAGTGTGTGAATGTGTGGCTAGTGTACAAGCTCTACTCTCGTAGCAACAAACACACTCCAAATCAAGCATATAATTGGGATCCAACAATTATACACAATTTCACAACAAACCCAATTCACACAACTAACCCTAGAACACCCAAATAATCCCCTTTATGCAATCCAACTCAGATAGGCATCAATAGCAAGAAATCAAACCAAATCCTAGTCCCAAAACACTTAGCTACTCATAATATAACAATGGAAACACAATATTAAAAGAGAAATTGAAAGCATAGATGAAAAGTAAAGAGAAGAGATAAATAGAAAACTTCTCTATTCAAGTCTTGAAATCCAAGATTTGCAATGTTCTTGAGCTTAGAAATGGAAAGAAACCACCAATCTACACCTATCTAAGCTATTCTAAAGTTAACCCAAGCTATGGAGTGAAAGAGAAATGAAAAAATGTAATGAAAGATGTGTTTTGGGGTGGAAAAATCCTCTTAAAAGGGGTCAAAACGCGCTGCAAAAAGTTGCAGAGGGCTGGCCACGCCCTTGGCCACACCTGTGGCCAGAAAGGCCGTGTGTACTGCCCAGTGGCCACGGCCGTGACCATACCCGTGGCCACCAGGCAGTGATTTTTCTGTGCACTGCGACTGTGGTCTAGGTACTTTTTCACCTTCTAAAAGTTTGAATTAGCCTTTGGTGCTTGAATCAAAGTTGTAGCCCTTCAAGTTATCTTTCCAATGATATAAAATTCACTTGGTTTGGACATTCCTAAGCAGAGATATGATCAAAAAACCGAGCAGTGGACGATTTGTGCGGGAATTTCAACTTCTTGCTCTTTTGCTCCACTTTTGCCTTTGTTTGTCCAAATGACCAAGACCAATAAACACACCATAATTTGGCTTTCTAAAAGGTGTTTCTCCATCTTCATAGCTTCTCATTGACTCGCATTGACTCTACATGCATCCGAAATGCTCCAAAAATAATTCAATTCATCTAAATCATCAAGAATTACTCATAAGCACACAAATTAATCAAATGAGGATACTTTGGGCAAAATTATAACAAATAACAAGGAAAATAAGCTTAAATGCAAGGTGAAATTATAAACTTTTAGACTCTTATCAACACCTATATCTAATTATCTATGATATCTTTTTCCTATTCTTTAATTACCATTTTATTAAAATCATTATATAGTTACTTTAATTTTTTATTATATTTTAATTAAATGTCTATGAATAGTAAATCATATATGTGTATATATATAGGCATGCAGACGACGTCGTTTTGGACTAGTGTCCACAATGCATTGTGGACACGGGTCCATGGCATAATTTGTGTAAAAAATACCTTAGAATGGTAAAAAGGTAAAAATTTCTAATAATCACATAGGTGGTGTAAATAGTCGAATGAGTGATCAAATTGTTATTTGCACCAGCCACCTTAGTCAAACCTTATTTATTAGGTGTAAGTAATACTTTTTTTAATTCAAAATTTAATTAATTAAAACATTTTTTAAAAGAAAAACCCAGAGCCTTCTCCGGGATTATATTTAGAGCGCATAATTAAGTCACCAAAGGGTAATCTAGAATAGTTGGAAGATGAGTATGTTAAATGATCCATGGTTTGAATCTGCTGATAATTGCATTACTAGAAATGTTGGAAATGCTTTCAAAAAGAAATGTTGCAAAAAAACAAAAGACTAAGTGTAAAAATCCAAATATAGCAAGTTGGAAATGGACTGGAAAATGAAATGATCCACTAAAGTCGTTAAAGATGAGAATATGAGAATTCAAAGATGGTGGATGACATTATGAACCAAGCCGGCCAAATAATTATTCTGGTATAATTTGTCATGCATGCATAATTACACATCAATAACTTCATAACTATAAAATCCAGAATTGCATAACTACACCATGCATAATTATACATCCATAATTTCATAACTATAAATCCGGAATTGCATAACTACACATCCATAATTTCATAACTAAAAATCCAGAATGAATAAACTAAAAAATGAACAACATAATGTTGTTGCTGGGAATCGAAATTGATTTTTTTTAAGCAAGACACGCGATTTGATGCAAAATGATGTCATTTTTGCATCCGTATGCACCATGCACCATACATGGTGCATACGGATGCACAACATAATTTGCCAGTACCTAGAAGGTTGATATGCTATAGGTTAATTTAGAAAGAGTTGAACCCATGGTCCGGACTATAAACCTGTGCTGACCTGCGATCTATGGGGTCGGCGTCGCAGCAGCATTATGTTTAATAATAATAAAATTAATTTTTTCATATATATTTTATTATTTTTAACTAGTAATTCACCCGCGCGATGCACGGAAAAAAAAATTATGTTATTATAAATATAAATAAAAAATAGAAAAATAAAAATATTTTAAATTGTTTAATATAATAATATTTTTGAGCTTCCATTGGTCAAGTATTTATTATTTTTATAGAATACAAAATTACAATTAAAATTTTGTATGGTTAATATAATCTCTAATTATGTACATATTCAAATAGACTTATAGAGAGAATTTACATAATTACATTGATTTATTCTTAATTGTATTTCTTCTATATTATAATTTTCACAATACAAATAATAACTCAGATAATTACATTTAGAAAGCAAATTTCAAATTTTGTATGAGTAAATTTAAACTCTAATTGAACACATTTTTTTATATGATTATATAATATATTCTTTATGCACATGTCATTCCATAAACCCAAATGTCATTTTATAAGTTCAAGACCACTTTTTGTGGAGATAATTCAAATATTTTTTTTCTTTTAAAAGTCCTACGTTTAGACATCTAGAAAAACATTAAAGACCCATACGATATATACATTTATATATATTTAAATTTTTATTTATGGCTTAAATGATTTTTTTTTATATTATGAAGTCCAATAATTGACCCACGGTCCGCAACATTTGTTTTTTTCATCCCTTCTCGCTTCTGCCATTTCTTTGAAGCATTTGAGAGGGAGAAAAATTATATGTAGAGGCTTGCATTAATTGCACTGTTTCAGATATCGAATAGGCTTTCATCGAAAATTTAATTAATATTGTAATCTCAAGAACCACCACAAATAACAAAAGCATATCAAATAGACTTTCATTGTAAAGCCAGAGATTTAATTAGTATTGCATCGTTTTATATTTTCTATTAATCGGAAATCGGAATACTTAATCCTAATATCATAACATTTAATAACTCCATTAATTCAATAAATGTAATCCTTTGTTATGGGTGAGGAAAAAAAATAGCTATTTTATTTTTCAAATGTTGTGCTTTTTTTTAATAGTAAAAAATGTTGTGGCTATTTTATTTTTATAGCTAGTAATAATAATAATGTTGGTAATTAATTGTAACATTAATTACCTCCCAAACCATATAGCTTTATTATATGTAAGATTTAATTTTATTTTTATGTTTAATAATAAAATTTTTGAATTAATAGGGAGGAAAAGACATGGAGTAAATAGTATTGACAAATGTTATATAAAGGTGTACCTATTGACAAGCAGAATCCATCCAAAAGCTGCTATTTCTCCAAAAATGGACGCCCGCTGCCAATTGCTACACCTGGCTACTAACATTCAGGTGAATCAAAGTTATGCCGTCGGTGGTAGACTTCAAGGTAAGCTCAGCGCCATAGTGTTTTTTTAGAAATAAGATCCTTCAATTGTAGCTCTATTTTTCTTGTTCATTTGTGGTCAAAGAAATTTGTTTAATATGCTTATTAAGATTTGTGGTACTATGCTGAGAGTAGATTTTAATTCATCAATTTTGTTAATGGTTCTCAAGATGACCATGCTTTAGCATTATATATTATTAGAATGAATAATTGTATTTTTGTTTTTATATATATAATGTTCTTGATTCTTTGTGTTTGTCCTTTGCTTTGAATAGATGCCACTCAATATACTCCTCTTAATTACAAGGGACTCCTACAAGAATATTTACAAAAAGCATGCCTACCACTACCAAACTATGTAATTGCGAATGAAGGTTTTCCACATGCACCAATGTTTAAAGGCAGTCTTAGTAGGCAGAAAGAAGCTAAGTATACTTCTCCTAACACATTTGCACACCGGAAGGCTGCAGAACAGGATGCTGCGAGACATGCAATGGAGACCATGCCACCAATAACAAAGAAAGATGAACTACAACCACTTAATAATATTCATGAGGTTTGTTGTCCGTCTTAGATATTTACTTGTGTTGAGATTAACAAGAACAAGAAAACAATAACAATGGCAGTAAAGGGTAAAGAAGACAAGATTTACGTGGTTCGGCAATGTGCCTACATCCACGGGAGTGAAACAATTCTTATATTCATAGTGATAGTAATGGTGGTGACACAACTGCAAACTCAAGAATATTCACATATGTATCTCAATTATACAAAATCGTATACAACATATGTAAATATTTAAGCAATTAAAAAAAAAAAAAAACTAGGCAGAGATTATTTATGGCTCTGATACCAACTGTTAGACTAAAATATCACATGCATAATCTTATATGTGATAATAGGATCGTACTAACCTCCAGCCATAGTTCTTCTTACGGTTGAGCGATCCGGTCTGCTGCAGAGATGATAAGTGCTTTGTCTCTCACTTTACTCAGCTCTCTCTAGATGGTGTATGAGGTATGTAATGTGAGCAGTGAGAGGACTAGTGACCTTATATAACCACTGGCCATCATTGTGGTTGATTGTCTTTAGGTCTCCTAAACCCTAACTAGACTCCTAATCATAATGGTAGTCTAGTTGTTAGGTTATTAGTGTTGCACCACATATCAAATACTGAATATTATCATAACTTATCCTAATGTTATAATAATAGTAACGGATAAACGTTACAACAACCCCTTAGCAATATAACCAATATATTTATAGGCATCTAATCTCTGTACAAAGGGTCTACCCGCTTCACTCCTACTCCTAGTATGAGACAAACTCATATTCCTAATCCATATATGAGACAAACTCAACAATCTCCACCTTGGCGAATATGCTCTTTAGGAGAAAAATAACTCAACAAATCTCCACCTTGACAAATATGCTCTTTAGGAGAAAAGACTTATCTCACCATCTCCACCTTCACATATCTGCCCTTTAGGAGAAAAGACTATCTCCACCTTGGTGAATATGTTCTTTAGGAGAAAAAGATAACTCAATAAATCTCCACCTTGGCAAATATGTCCTTTAGAAGAAAATAATTATCTCAACATCTCCACCTTCACAATTATGCCCCTTAGGAGAAAAAGACTTATCTCACATATACACATGGATAGGAACAACCTTGCTCATCCCAACTAGCCAGCCACATGTATACGCAGCATCAAACGCTACCCAGTGCATATATACGAACCGCTTCGTCCCAAGCCATTCGCCCTCAGCCGTCGACTTGTTATACCAGCCGCGAGTCATGCTAACTGTCTCGTTTAGCTGACCTCCTGCATCTGGCCCATACCAGGTCCATGTCCCCTCCTGGTATCCACGCTGCCCCAACACAACAGCGCCCCTGCAAAGTCACACTAAACCCGTGTGCCTTGCCCAGTGCTCCACTAACCAGCAATTACCACTGGCCAGCAACACGCACAACGCAGCATCAAACTTTTCCTAGTGCATGTTCACGAATTGCTTCGTTCCAAGCAATCCGCCACACCAAGCGTGACTCTAGCCAAGCCCGGCCCATACCAGATCCATATCTCCTCCTGGTATCCACGCTGCCCCTAACACAACAGCACCCCTGCAAAGTCACACTGAACCCGTGTGCCTTGCCCATACCGATACCAGGTCCACGACCCCTCCTGGTATCCGCGCTGCCCAACACTACAGCGTCCCTCACCTTATCATCTAACATCTAGAAACGCCAAACAAGTCCAAACAATGTTCGAACTTGTTACTAGTTACCGCTAGAACATCACTTTCACTATAATAAGATTCATCAGCATGTGCCACGTCCGTAGCTTCCTGCTTCTTCAACTCCTTCCAATCAGCCTCTTCCAGATTTGCTAGATTTTCCGCCCTCAAGGTTTTCAGAAGGCCCTGATATGCCAACAAATCATTTTCCCTAGACCGCCATAACCCAAAATTACCTATACCATCAAACTTTGATACTTCGAATTTTATACTTGAATTGACCATCTCAACAGTGCTCTGATACCAATTTGTTGAGATTAACAAGAACAAGAAAACAATAACAATGGTAGTAAAGGGTAAAGAAGACAAGATTTACGTGGTTCGGCAATGTGCCTACATCCACGGGAGTGAAACAATTCTTATATTCATAGTGATGGTAATGGTGGTGACACGACCCCTTAGGGATACAACCAATATATTTATAGGCATCTAATCTCTGTACAAAGGGTCTACCCGCTTCACTCCTACTCCTGGTATGAGACAAACTCATATTCCTAATCCATATATGAGACAAACTCAACAACTTGGATGCTTGGCTTTATTTTAGCCTCATTGAATCCAAGTAAGTGAGTCATTTCAACTCAAAATTCTTCTTGAGGCCTTGTTATTTCTATTATCCAATTATATATACTATTTAAATTGTTACTTATAGCGGTAATCATTTACCTTAAGGTCTTACTGAATCCGGAGTTTAAGTTCCATCCCCTTAAAGGTCTTAACAATATTAGTATAGTGAGTTGGTTCTTATATAGGCCAGGAGAACTGCTTTGTAAGGCCAGGGAACATCAAAATTTCCATCTCACAATCTACTTCGATTCTTTACTCCATGAGTTTTACATGATAGATTTGGACATTAATGTTCTTACTAAATTAGAGCTAATTTCCATCCACTTAAACCAATATTAGCAGAGTGAGTTGGTTCTTAATTAAGAAGGAGAAATGCTTCATAATGGAAAAGCAGAACTCCCATCCCATATGTTATGAGTATTGTCTCGCTTGAACATGAATGTAATACGCATAGGTAGGTGTTCAAGATTATGTTTGCATTGTTATTCCTCATCATACAATTAGCTTTGATTGATACATATAGATTACAGATATTTGAGTAACATGCAATCTCTTATCAATAAGATGGAAGGTAAATTTTAGTACACATTTTTTTGGATATACTTTGTTTGAATGGAATTGGCTTGCAGACTCTCCTGGCCTATATAGAGTTATATTGTGACTTGAAACTTGAAAGTACGGTTATGGGAGGCTGATTTTTCTTTTATGGCACTTCTCCAGTACAAAATGTTTTGCAAGTCCATCCTAAATGAGCTTGTGCAGAAGATAAATGTAGAAAATCCAACTTATCATACAATCCAGCCAGATACATCACTTCATGCTTTCAAGTCAACAGTTGTTTTCAATGGTTGTTCTTACACTGGGGAGGCTGGAAGAAACAAAAAGGAGGCTGAACGATTAGCAGCTCTTGTTGTAATTGTCTCATTGTTGGGTAAGTGAACCGCCTATATTACAAATATAATTGCTATCCATTTTGCTTATCATAAAGTTGTTGTCAATTCATTTATTCTATTCTATTTTGCAGAGTCTGAACATAAAACCATCCTCTCAGAGATAATCCGATCTAAGGACAAGCTTGGCCCGAGACACGTGTAACAGCCGAATTTAGAAAAATAAAAAATAAAAAAAAAAAAAAAAAGGAAACATGAGAAGGTAGAAAACGACGTCGTTGACGTTGTTCCAGGCGGGGCAGTTAGCTTCATCCAGTATTTTTATTCTGTCACCTCTTTAATATTTGGCACCTTTGTCACGTGTCTTTGGTTACAGTTGCTTCATTAATGAATTGAAACAATTTGGACTTTTTATGCCATGTCAACTATTGATTTTTTTTTTTAATCTATTATGTTTGGTTAATGTATTCTAATTGACTGCATATCTATTAACCAATATGCATCCTTTTTATGAATCATTTAATTAATGTAGTATATAAGTTTATATTATACTTCATTTTATTCAAATTATTTTATATTTTTACCACACTCAAGTATATTTTTTGCTCCGATTCTAACTATCGTTTAATCTATCAAAAATTTTCTATTGTAATTTATAATATATTTTGTATTTTAACCTTATTATGACTGTTTGATATTTCGTAATTGATATTTCTAATTGTCATTTAAACTTCGCCCCAACTCAAGTATTTTCCTAGCTCCGTCCCGGTTTACTTGAAGGTTTTTTAGAGTTAATTTTCAAAATGGTCCTCCAACTATGACATTTTCTCAAATTGGTTCCTTAACTTGTAATTGCACATAAAATGGTTCTCCAACTATTGAATTTTAAACCAAAATGATCATCCGTAAGCTTTGGTGTTAAGTGAGTGTTAAAATGAAGGGCAAAAGGGACAATTTATATTCTTTGTTGTTAAGACTTTTTTCCAGCCCATTTTAAAAAAAACAAAAAAACAAAAACAAAAACTTGACACCCATGTCACATATTTTTAGTATATCACATAACATTCTATATAAATTTGTAATTGAGTTATCATTAATTAATAAATAAATAAATTACGAATTTTATCTCTTCGTTTTCTTTTAAACAAAAGTATAAGTGTTTCATAAAAATATAAAATAGATAGTGATATCAAACCTCTTCAACTACTAGCCTACAACTATTACTAATTTCCAGCAACATATCACAGTTGCTTCATGTGTGCTATTTTTCAACCCACAAACAAGAGGGTACGTGAGATTTTTATGGAAATTAGCAGCAAGAAACAAAAATGTATGGGGTTGTTTACCAACTTGGAAAAATAGAGAATTTTCCAAAAAATTGGAGAATTGAAAAAGTGGAAAAATGAAAATTGGAGAACTTGTTTATTAAATTTATTCTTCCAAATCCAATCTCATCTCCATTCTTCCAATTCTAATACAAATTTGGAGAAAGGAAAATAACAATTCTCCAAATGGAGGAATGGAATGCACGGGTGAACAGTAGAATTTGGCCGTGAAGTCCTGTGATTGAACCCTGCTTGTGTTTGTTTCATTTTCACAGCTTCTTTCTTTCTTCCCTTCGTTTTTTCCCCGCTTCTTTCTTTCTTCCCTTCGTTTTTTCCCCTCTTTTTTTTTTTTTATTTCTTTCGAATTCTTTCTTCTTTTTTAGTAATAATAATAATAATAATAATAATAATAATAATAATAATAATAATATTATTATTATTATTATTATTATTATTATTATTATTATTATTCCCACTTTCTTTCTTTTTTTCCGAATTCTTTCTTATTATTATTATTATTATTATTATTATTATTATTATTATTATTATTATTATTATTATTATTATTATTATTATTACTTTTTCTATAATTTTTATTGCAATGATTTCTTCACTTTTGTATTTTTAGCTGCAATTACAAAATTCGAATATAGATTTCTTATACCTTTACAAATAATAATATTTATTTTTATAAAAAATATATGCTTATTACTTAAAAAAATTCACTTTTGTATTTGTATACATGTTATTATTGGGTATGTTGCTTTGTAATCGGTTGTAAATTATTTAGTGTAAGGTTTTTATTGGTGTATTATTATTATTATTAGAAAAATGAAAAAATGGAGAAATAGCGAATGAAAATTAGAAAACTGGAAAAATAAAAAATTGGAGAAATAGAGAAGAAAACTGGAGAAATGGAGAAGGAAAAATGGAGAAATGGAGAAATGGAAAATTGAAAATGAAAAAACAGAAGAATGAAGTAAACGACCCCTATGTATTCATAAAAGTCTTCTGGACAGGACTAAAATAAAATCATACAAAAACTCAACTAAATGCTTAGGCAGGAGCTAGAATAAACTTAAAGCTTTCGTCTATATAAATTAAACTATAAGAGGAGCTCTTAAAAGATTTTTCAAAGTATTCTACAAAGTACTATCAGCATGCAATTAAAATAAATAACGTAACATATCACAGTTGCTTCATGTGTGCTATTTTTCAACCCACAAACAAGAGGATGAGATTTTCATGGAAATTAGCAGCAAGAAACAAAAATGTATGTATTCTTAAAAGCCTTCTGGACAGGACTAGCTAAAATAAAATCATACAAAAACTCAGCTAAATGCTTAGGCAGGAGCTAGAATGAACTTAAATCTTTCATCTATATTGTTATAATAATATTATTATTAGTAATATTAAACCAAGTAGTTAGTTAATTGGTTAAAAATAATGGGAGTAATTATAGGTGCAGTACATGGCCATGATGTTAGCTTTACATGGAGCATTAACTCCTTTATTTTAGCATTTGAATTATCTTATCTAGTATAAATAGATTTGTTATTCAAGCATTTCTAATCATCAATAAAATTATCTATTCCTCTCTCTCTCTTCTCAATATATATAAATATAATATATAGATATATTATATTTAATATATATTATAGATATATTATATTATATTTAATATATATTATATTAAATATACTATATTTAATATATCTAACATTTGGTATCAGAGCCAGTCAACCTTTCAACCCCGAGATATTGTTCGTAGTGAAATATGGCTGCAAATTTCAATATTGTATGGTCGGGTCCCAAATTGGACGGGAACCTCGATTACAATTATTGGCAAATTATGATGTCCACACATTTGCAAGCTCAAAATCTTTGGAGCTTTGTTTATCCCGGTCTACCCGAAGGAGCTGATGCAGGCGCTATACGGCGAGATAAATTGGCCTTGGGTCAGATTCACCAAGGTGTTCATTATTCCATTTTTGGGCAATTAACTCGTGCTCAAACAGCAAAACAAGCTTGGGACATCTTAAAGGTGTCACACAAAGGAGTCGATCGGGCGCAGAAGTCTAAGTTGCAGTCGTTGAGAAGGTTGTACGATAATTGTGAGATGACCTCTACAGAAACAGTAGATGCGTATTTCACTCGTCTTATTGATATGGTGAATAAGATGAGGCTATATGGAGATACGATTGAAGATGGTGCAGTGGTTGAAAAAGTTCTTCGAACTATGCCGATGAAGTATGACCATGTGGTGGCTTCAATAACAGAGTCACACAAAACCGAGCTCTTATCAATTGCAGAGCTGAAAGGTATGGTAGAAAGTCACATTGACAGGATTGCGTCAAAATCGGAACCACTAGCAGAAGAAGCTTTGAAGAGTCAAGTCACCCTTAATGTGACTGGCACTAATCAAAGAAGTGGAGGATCTGGTAGAGGTCGTGGAAGAGGAAGAGGTCGTGGTAACTTCAACCAAGGAGGAGGACGTGGTAACTCCAACCAAGGAAGAGGTGGAGGTAATACCAAACAAGGTAAATTTCCATTTCATTGCTACAATTGTGGCAAGTATGGGCACAAGATTGCAGATTGTTGGTATAATGAGGACAACAATCGTGGAAATCGAACAAACATTGCTGAAAATACTGCTGAAAAGTCTGGTGAGAATTCTGAAACCTTACTTTTGGCCAGTGATAGTTTTTCTGCTGATAAGAACATATGGTTCTTGGATACTGGGTGTAGTAACCATATGTGTGGGAAGAAAGAATTGTTTTCCGAACTAGATGAATCAGTCCGGTCTGAAGTAACGTTTGGCAATAAGTCAAAGGTGCCAATTTTGGGAAAAGGTAAAATCTCTATTCAGTTGAAGGATGGTACTCACAATTTTATATCCGAGGTGTTCTATGTTCCTGAACTACACCAAAATTTGTTGAGTATGGGTCAGTTGTCAGAAAAAGGATATAAGATACATATTGCTCAGGGGTGTTGTACCATTGCAGATGCTAAAGGAGTTTTGATTGCAAAGGTAAATATGTCCCAAAATCGACTATTTCCTTTGAAAATTAAGCATACTCTCCTTGCTTGCTTTAATTCTGAAGTTTGTGATGATAATTGGTTATGACATATGCGGTTTGGGCATTTTCATTTTTCTGGGTTAAACTATCTTGCGAGAAAGGAACTTGTTTCTGATTTACCTGTTGTGAATGTCCCTAATCGTATCTGTGAGATTTGTGTGATTGGGAAGAAGCATAGAGATCCCTTTCCCGTGGGCAAGTCAAGGAGAGCCACAAAACAGTTGGAGATTGTTCACTCAGACCTGTGTTCGTTGGAGGTTCCCTCATATGGAGGTTGTAAGTACTTTATTACTTTCATTGATGATTTCAGTAGGAAAACATGGGTTTACTTTCTGAAGCAAAAGTCTGAAGCATGTGATGTTTTCAAACAATTTAAGGCTTTTGTTGAAAAGCAGAGTGGTTATGAGATTAAAATCTTGAGAACTGATAGAGGTACAGAATATATTGCCTGTGATGATTTTCTGAAAAAGAAGGGTATTCAACATCAGATGACAGCTAGATACACTCCACAACAAAACGGAGTGGCTGAGAGGAAGAATAGGTCTATCATGGATATGGTAAGGTGCATGTTGAAATCCAAGGATCTGCCTAAACCTTTTTGGGCAGAAACTGTTGCTTGTGCTGTCTATGTGTTGAATAGGTGTCCAACTAAGAGTGTCCATGATAAGACGCCCGAAGAAGCTTGGAGTGGGAGAAAACCCTCTATCAAATATCTCAAGGTTTTTGGATGTTTGGCATATGCACATGTGCCAGATCCATTGAGAAAGAAGTTGGATGATAAAGGTGAGAAATGCATATTC